TGTGCTGAGATTGAGTGAATAAAGCAGGACTGCTAGTGGATTTCTGCAGTGAATTTCGAACTGGAAAATCTGGAGTTGTTTTGGTAAATTTGACCTAGTTAGGGTGAGAACTGGACTGAGTGGTCTTCATAAAAGTTGTAGGTCTTTGTCTTAGCTTTTCAACACCTCCAAGAATGCCTTAAACGGCTTTGGTAGCCTGCGATATGGCCATTTAAAGGTAGTCAGTTAATTAGCCGATTAGTTGGAACTTGGTTCTGGAATTGGGAATTTGACTAGGTTACACTGGAATTTGGACTAAGTGGTCTTCATCAAAATTGTAACCCTCTGTCTTAGCTTCGAAATGGTATAAATTATATCCCAATCCGATAAGCGTAGCTTCGGATGTGTCCGTTACGTAAAACCCGTCAAATCTGTCTTTTGTTAAACTTCATTTCCGCACATGTTGTTAGCTTGATTTTTGTACTTATATGATTTTGAGCCTATGGAATGGCTATTGAAATGAGATGATATTGTGTGTGACTTTGGATTGATTGAGGAAAACAATGAAGCCATAAATGGCTGGAAAATAGGTAAATACAAAGGACGTGCTGCCCAAATTTTCGCTCGAGGGCTAAGTTTCTATTTGAATTTGTATATTTTCGTTTGGCAAATACTATGACCGTTTTCCATCTTAAAACATGATCCTTCTTCAATTGGAAACTCCAAATGTTTACTTACGCTTACCAAATAAAAAGGGAGTGGTTTAGGGTTTTCTTGGGTATTTTGTCCTCCCTTTTACATGAATTTCATTAAGACATTTAGTCTATAATATCTACTTGAATATGAGATGATTCTGAACCATATAAACGATCCCGAAAACAGTATTTCTTAGCCTATCTAGTTGGAATCCGACTTGTCTTTGGTTCAAGTGTTTTCCATTGGAAATTTTATACCCCTTTTTGTTTGGTTTTGCGTTTAGTTTATGAAACCCTAGCTATTTCCGTCCACCGGTCCAAATGCCCTCGTTTCACTTTAAAGTCATTTCTATACGTTTTATTCATCAATTGTTGGGTTTCTTCGATTTCACCTAATTGTTTGTGCTAGATATTTTTGTGCTAGATAGACTATAATATTCTTTCTCATTTACTCTTAGGTTTTTTCGGTGACTGAGATAATATCCGGAAGGATATTTGCACGTTATTTTTGCGTAAATAGGTGAGTGTTCCTTGTTTGCTATATTTTTCTTGACTTCATGACTTGTGTTCTTGTTTGATGATGTATTAAGTGCTTTCAAGGATTTCCAAAACGAGTTTTCTAGGCGAGCGTGTACTTTACCGCGCTCGACCTAAATGAAACGTGAAATTTTCAATGATTTAATGATTGCTACATTAGTTACGCATGATGTAAGCCTTTTGGCTGAATTGGACCCTGCCCTTCGTTACCGATCGACTCGAGCCAGAAGCGGACTCGGTCGGGCGATATGGTGACCCTGGGTGAATTTGGTATACTCGAGTATTACCTTGTAGTCTGGTGGAGCCTGGCCAATTTCCAGGAGGGGGTGAACGAAACGAAAGAATGAACGAGGGTTTTATTTACCAAAAATGCATTTTATTTAATTGACCGAGGAATAAGGGGAATAACAGAGAGAACGAACGAACGAATATATGGCTCCCTGTGAGCCCGTATCCTTTTAATGAATGTGTTTATCGCTTTATTTTGTATTTGTATCTTGAATTATTGGTTATATGTAATGAATGCATTGAACTTCTTGTTGCCTATGTGTTCGGAACCTCACTGAGTTTTTAGCTCATTCCTTTAGTTTTGTTTTCTTTAACAGGGGACGGCGAGCAAGGACGAGAGCTCGGTAGAGTCTAGCCTAGACTGGTTTCTTTGGTTTTGTAATGGTTCTCGCTCTAGTGCTCGGCACGGGCTGGATGTATGGTGAATTGAGAACCTTTGTATATTCGATGTTTGTACTCCCTTTTGAGATAGCAATGTATATAAGTTTTGCTTTAAGTTTTGGATCGTTGTTATGTTTAGTCTTGTGGGTTTATTCTGGTTTCGATTGAGGATTGACGTGGACGACTGAGTCCCGGCGAGAGTTGGGCAGGCGGTCCGCCGAACCCTTTGGTACGCCTTAGGGGGAGGTGGGGCTGTCACACAAATCTACCTTTTCAACTTAAATCTAGAACTTGATTTCAAACTAAAGTGATGTTAAACAAACAAAAATCATCATGCTTGAGAAGGAATCAGAAGACTTTCAGGACAACACTTATCGAGAACTCAATTAGAGATTTCGTAGCCACAGATTTTTCAAAAATTTTGATTTAGGAAAAATTGAGAGGTTAATGTTAACATATTTGGTAGGTTTCTGATGGTCAACCATCTTAATTGTCTCAAAGTCTTCCATCTCAAAAAAAAAAAAAAAAAAAAGCCTTCCACCTATCAACTGTTAAGATGACAAGTCAAGGATGAAAAAAATTTTATTTATTGTTTTCTGAAATTCCATTGGGCATCCAATCAATAGCCTAATATGCCAACAAAGTACTTGGATACCCAGCCCATTTGGACCCATTATCCATTTAAATCCCCCAACCTTTCAAAAATATTGGGCAAGTTGGCTGGTTCCGTGGATTTTAGGCTATTTTGCGAGGCATAACTATAGGTATGGTAGCGTGACTATTTGGACGATGAATTCCTAACATAGTACTTCAACAGAAAGATTGCACGAAATTGTACCAAAGATGAATTCCTAACATAGTACTTACAACAGAAAGATTGTGCCAAAGATGATATGATAACAGTGGCGAAGCCAGAAAAAATTCTTAGTGGGGGCAAAAGCAACATTAAAATTTTTTACCTACTTTTTTTCTAGTTTTTTAAGAAAAAAAAAATTCACCAACAAGTACAAATGATGTATATATTCCATGAAAAACATAAAAAGACAAATTCAAAATTATTAATGTAATAATAATTTTTTTTCAAAAACAAATTAAACTATTTACAATTGCTCACTGCGAGTTTTTATATTTTGATAACTAACTTGGTTGTGAAAGAAAGAATAGCTCTCGGTTGTGGAGGGAAAATGGGGGACCCATGGAGGGAAGGGAAATTGGGAAGTGGGGACAAAGGAAGTGAATAATATGATTGGATGAATTGATCAATAGAAAGAGTAGCTAGTTGCTTGGTTGTGGAAGGTAGTGGCTCTCGGTTGTGGGGGAAAAATGAGGGATAGAGGAGGGAAGGGAAATTGGGGAGTGGGGCCCAAAGAAAGTGAATGATATGATTGGTACTTGCTAGTTGAAATGAAAAGACTTTTTTTTTTGTTTATTTCAAATGGAATTTGTGCCCCACGTATTTTTTTAGAATTTTAGTTCATGAACTACCCAAAGAAAGTGAATGATATGATTGGTACTTACTAGTTGAAATGAAAAGACTTTTTTTAGTTTATTTCAAATGGAATTTGTGCCCCACGTATTTTTTTAGAATTTTAGTTCATGAACTAACTTAAAAAATTACGTAATTCCTTCACATCCTTTTTAAGAAAACTCTGGGAGCACACTTAAAATTATATCAAAATTGTATAAGTATTATAGGAATTTAAGGGGGGCACTGGGGGCTGGGAAAAAAAAACACCTTAAATCTGCCCCTGTATGATAAGCAACAAACTATATAAAACAAGTATTTCATCATAGTTAGCTCAGGATTTTCTTAGTAAGTAGAAACAAAATAATTACTAGTAGGAGGATAAAGTAAATCCATAGTGTATTGCTTCTTCATATGAGTTGAAAATTGCAGATTTTGGAGTTATCTAACTTATGCAAATAGTCAAGGATACAATTAAAGGTTACATGCATATGTCGTGCCCCATTTTTTGCGATAAAAAGGTATTTATAAAAAAAAAATGTATTTTTCATTTTTACAAAAATAAGTGAAAAAGTTAAAAACGGGATAGATTAAAAAATGTGACAGTTTAGCCCAAAATTTAGTCTAAAAAGGGATTTAGGAAAAAAGGAGTCGCCACTTGGTATTGAATTTAGGTGTACCAAGTCACTCAAAAATGTTTTTGACCAAAAATAAAATAAAATAAAACCCTTTTTGATAACTCTAGATTTTTGAAAACAAGAGAAAATGAGTTTAGAAGTTATGGTTGAAAAAAGGGAAGACAAAAATTCGATTGTCTCAAACCTAAGGCACCCTTCGACTTAATTTAAAGAGCGAATTGCGCGAAATGTCACTAAACTATTTCAAAGTGCCGGTTCTGGTCACTAAACTTTTTTTATTAGCGCGAAATGTCACTGAACTAGTAAATCTGTACCGTTTTGGTCACTCCGTGTATTTGTGCCGTCAGGAGAGACGGAAATCAACTTTTTGAGGGGCAAATTCGTCTGCACAGTCTTTTCCTTGAAACTCTCCACCATAAATCACTCTCAAATGTCAGACAACTCGTAAGTTCAATTAGGAAGTGCAAACCCTTATCCTGTAATAGATTTCTTCTGCAAATATGGAGTAGGAGGGACAATATATAGGAGGCAGAGAAGATTCGTGCACCTGCATTTCCCGAACATTCAGCTGCTGCTATAGGAGGCAGAGAATATTCTCATCTCCCTCCTGAAATTATCTCAACTTCCACAAGGTCTCCTTCCTCTTCCCTACGACCACTTACACAATCCCGGAATCCCCCGCCAAAAACCCATCAGCTATAAAGTTTACCATGATTAACTCCCTATGCACCTCCATTGAATTCATCCACCTAAATTCTCCACCATTTTCCCACTACAGATTCCCCAAACCCCTTTTTCTCATTCCGCAATTCGCCCCTAAAAACCCCTCTCCCTATCCGACCCCAATTCATATGGTAAATGGGCCAACATCAGAGCCTGTGCAGCAGAAGCTGCAGCCGAGAGCGAAATCGATATGGTGAGAACCAAAGAAGGCATCTACACAGCTAAGCCTAAGAAAGTAGTGGTCTTATGGGACTTAGATAACAAGCCCCTCGCGGGCCGCCGTACCAGGCGGCGATGGCCTTAAAAAAAGTGGCCCAGCATTTCGGCAACCTGGTTGATATCTCTGCTTACGCTAATCGACACGCTTTCATTCATTTGCCCCAATGGGTTGTTGAAGAACGCCGAGAACGACGGCGTATGGACATTCTTGAGAGGAAAGGTGTTTCTACCCCTTCTGAACCGTATATTTGCTCTGTTTGCGGGAGAAAATGTAAGACACATTTGGATTTAAAGAAGCATTTTAGGCAGTTGCATGAGAGGGAGAGGCAAAAGAAGCTGAACAGAATGAGGTCATTGAAAGGTAAGAAACGACAGCGTTTTAAAGAAAGGTTTATTGATGGCAATGAGAAGTATAATGAAGCTGCAAGGACTTTGACTTCGCCGAAAGTTGGGTATGGATTAGCCTCCGAGCTTAGGCGAGCTGGGGTGTTTGTGAAAACGGTGGAGGATAAGCCACAGGAAAATTTTACCAACATTCCAAAGCCCCACAGTTAAACCTTTCACTTACCAGATGAAACTCTTCCCACTAAGGCTGTGCAGACGAATTTGCCCCTCAAAAAGTTGATTTCCGTCTCTCCTGACGGCACAAATACACGGAGTGACCAAAACGGTACAGATTTACTAGTTCAGTGACATTTCGCGCTAATAAAAAAGTTTAGTGACCAGAACCGGCATTTTGAAATAGTTTAGTGACATTTCGCGCAATTCGCTCTAATTTAAACTAGTTGCGAGATTTTTAGTCAAAATTTTCATAATCTAACCCCTTTCATTTATCACATTGTTTTCTATATGAATGCAATACCTAAACCTAAAGAGAATATTGGCAGGGACAAATGTCCCTTCAAAGTCTAATTAGTACCAATTGCATTAATTGCAAGGTTTATAAATAATCCCTTGAAAAGGTCACCAATATGCAAAAATGAGAGTCGAAAAAATAAAAATGATAATGTGTATATATATATATATAAGTATACATGCAACATAATGGTGTGGAGAGACTAAAAACTCGTGATACAATTTTCCTTCTTAAAGAGGATTAAGGGAATGTTGAAATTAAAGAGCTATAATAGCCCATTTTTCATATTCGAAAGGTGATTCTTCCAGCCTAAATAAGCAAATGAATTAAAATTATTTTCTAATTTCCTAAATAAGATACAATTCTAAATGATATGGTTCGTACATGTAGGGATAAGAAAATAATATAAGAAGAAATATTATACAAATGAAAAAGATCCTAAAAATAAAAAATATGCATAAAATGGAATGAATGACGATAAATGAACCTAGAATGCGGCTGATCTAAGAGTCTAGTGTTGGACTTACACATTTCTATAAATCCTTACCAGCGTTGGACTAATGTGGTGATATCATGCATCTATTATTTAAAAATAAAGCATATAAAACACAGATTAAAGCAAATCAACACATAGAGCACATAAGCATATTATCTAAATACAAAATCCTAAGAAAAGCAGGTAAAACATATAGGCACATAAGACGCAAACACACACAAAACCTATCTATCATAATAGTGACCCTAATTACAATCTAAAAGGGAAGTATAAGAAAATAAATCTATCTACTCTATCTATTACATTTAGGGGCTTAATTACAATCTAAAATGGAGAAATATAATAAAATAAATCTATCTACCCTATATATTATATTTGTCTATCTAATTTCAATTTTTACAAAAGAAGAAAAGAAAAAAGAAAAATATATTACCTGTCTATTACATCTTGAATATTTAAGTATTCCTCAAATAATTATAAAAATTAACTAAACAAACATAAAAAATTGAATAGAAATTTAAAATAAATAAATAATGAAAACATGTAAAAACATATAAATATATAGGAGCACATAAGAGCGCATAATTAAAATTTAAAAGATAATATGGGTACTTCCATTTTGAAATAGTGACTAAATGAGATAATATTGCACTATTTATACTCAAAATCAACAAAAGAATCACGACACCAATTTAATTGAAAATATTTAAAAAGAACATAAAATGTAGTAAATACTCATTATCGTGTTAAACATACAAGAAACTTAAAAAAAATACTAGTTAAATGCACTTAAGAGTAACATAATTAGCAATTAAGGAAAAGAAACAATCATAATAGAAAAATCAAAAAGCCATTAGGGACTAAATTGCAAAATCAAAAAGTTTCTGGATCAATATACAATTTTTTAAAAGATTAGGGGTCAAAATTAAATAAAGATAAAGTTTTGGGTCAAAATAAAATTAAATCAAGGGCCTAAATAAAAAATAAAAAATTTGCAGGCCACAATAAAATTCCTCAAAAGACTAGGGGCTAAATTTTGAAATTTGGCTTCTAATTTGAGAAAAAAAAGAAGAAACAAGGTGAGTCAATTTTCTTAAGTATTTGGGCCGTACCATTTTAGCCCAAAAGAAAGATGCAAGCCTTTTTCACATAAAAATAAACAAACCCAATTGGGAATTTAAACAAACCCAAATAATAAACTTATCTAAACTAAATGTCAAATCCATCCACAAGCCTAACAATAAATAAAACAACCTAAACAAAAATAAAAGAAAACCCATGCTCTTTTTTTTTTTCTTCTTTATTTGTTTTTCTTCTTCTTCTTCCTCTCTGCCAAATGCATCTCCTCTATCAACGACTATCAGACGCCTCGGAGACCGTTGCCTACTGGCATCACACGCCTTTTTTTCATTATTCGCCGTCACCACCTTTTCCCGTCACTTTCAGTAGAATCCATTCCGATTTAAGAAAATGAACAAAGATGTAAAATACAAATATAAGCCACAATTTCCTTTTTTGAAACTTTCTCAAAACATCATCAAATTCAAAAGTTTTACCAGAAATCAAACACCATAAAAGGAAAAACAAGCTCTCATCTTGAATTCCATTTTCATAGCTTCCAAGACAATTAGCATAAATTCTTGGCATTTTATCAAACAATTTAGGGGCATCAAGCAAGATAACTTCTATTCAATTACAATCCACTAGCAAGTTTCTCAAAAATTTTTTCAACATCAAAACTATAGCCAATAACACAATTCAAAAGCTTCCCCATGGAAACAAAAAATTACTAATAATTACAATAAAGAAAAATATTAGAAAAACAAACAAAATTTCTTAGCTTCATATCTCTATCAGAAATCAAAGATAAGGGATGGAGAAAGAAGAGCCTCACAATGCTTTAGGCAATGACCTGCGATGATGCGTAGTGTGACGGCCCCACTTCCCCCTAAGATGAACCAAAGGTTCAGGACCGCCTGTCCAACTCTCGCCAGAACTCGTTATTCACTTCAAAAAAAATAAGATAAAACCTCGAGGAAAAGTAAAACAAAACCAATTCCCAAACTTGAAAAGCAACTTACATTCATTTCTTTCTCGCAATAAAATACAATCCAAATATAACAAAAGTTTTAAGTTCCAATACTTCCAACCCTAATCAAGCACTAGAGTGAATACAAATTGCAAAATTCCAAATTCCAAAACTAGACTATGCTATTCTATACAGGTCTCTCGCCCTTGCTCGTATCCCCTGTAAGGAAAACAAAACTAACGGAATGAGCTAAAACCCAGTGAGGTTCCAGACACATAATCAACTTAAATAAGAACATTAGTCATGTAATAACACGTAATCCAGGAAACATTAACAATATAAAACAATGATAACATATTCATTAAAAGGATACATGCTCACATGGAGCCTTTCGTTCTTTCATTCACCTTTCATTTCCTTATTTCTCCGATCATTTTAAAATGCATTTTGTAAGTGAAAACCCCTCCATTGACATTGTCACTCGTTCATTTTTCATCTTTCCCCCTTCTGGACATTGGCCAGACTCCACCCGACAACGTGATAATACTCAAGTATACCAAACTTTCATCCAGGGTCACCAAATCGCCCGACCGAGTTCGCTTCTGGCTCGAGTCGACCGGCAACAATGGTAAGGGTCCAGTTCAGCCAAAAGGCTTACATTCATGCACAACTAACATTTAATCACTTAAACATTGAAAATTTCACATTTCATTTAGGTCAAGTGCGATAAAGTACACACTCGCCTAGCAAAATTCTTGTAACAAACATTTATCATTTAATCAAATATCCACACAAATCATATAGTTCATAAAAACATAACAAACAAAGAACACTCATCTATTTAAGCAAAATAACGTCCAAAGTATCCTTCCGAATAATACCCTCAATCACCAAGGAACCCTAATAATAACCAAGGGAAAATATTACGGTTAAACCATCCAAAGTTTAGGTGAACCAAAGAAAATCCGAATAACTACTAGTACAAAGTATAAATATGGTTTTGGAAGTGAAAAGATTACATTTAAACCAAAGGACATGAGTAAAATATTTGTAAAACTTATACTCGCTGTAAACCTTTGAAATCTCCATTTGAGTCGAAGTGACAAAGAAAACGTATTTCTATTAGTCGTAAATTTCATTTTTCTAAGGTACAAGTTTCGGCCGAATTCTAATTTATATACCTCGATAAAAGAAGACGCAAATATCCTAGATGGTTCAAATGGTATTCGTCCTCAAATCCTTACCTAGTCCTCGAGTGCAAATTTGGGCAGCACGCCCTTTATATTTACCTATTTTCTAGCCATTTATGCCTTCATTCTTTTCCTTAATTAGTCCCAAAGTCACACACAAAGAGTCTTATTACAATAGCCATTCAATAGGCTCAACGTCATACAATTACAAAACCATGCTACAGAAATGACCGGAAATAAGGTTTAAGGCAAAAAGTAAAAAAAAAAACAGGTTCGATGTCGCTTAGCGTATCGGTCACAACCGAAGCTACGCTTATCGGATTGGGTGTAATTATACCATTTCGAAACTAAGACAAAAGGCTACAACTTTAATGAAGACCACTCAATCTAGTTCATAGTGTATCCAAGTCAAATTCATCGTTTACAGAACCAGAATTTCACTGTCAAGCTGGTTAACAGCACTATATTCAACAGACAATAACTCAGGCTACAAAAGTCCGATTGAGGTTTTTTCAGAGGCGTTGGAAAGATAAAACATAGAACTATAACTTTCATGTTTTGGCCAAATGCTAATTCAATACGGATCAAGGTGAAAAAATGCGGCCAAAATGGTGAAATGTCAAAACCGTCCACAGAGCTCTACCTATGGCAGTCAATGGTATTTTTGTCTTTTCATATGTTACAGTACTCGGATTGATCTAAAATTTTATAGGCAGCTGTAAAACATCATTTCCTACAACTTTTATGTTTTAACCTAAGCCCAATTCGACCTCTAACATGGACAAATGAAGTTGGTCAGAAGTAGGGCAGTTCATCATCAAAGTTGGAAATTCATCAAACCTAACAATACCATGATAGCTATCATAAAAGTCATGTCTTTTTCCTTATAAAGTATCATCCATCAAGTAGATACAAAGACAAGTGAAAATGATAAGGTGACTATCAATTTTACCTCCTAAATTCCACAAAACAATGCTGGGAAAA